CCCCAAAACCCCAAAACCCCAAAACCCCATGACTCTCTTATTAAAATGGATTGAGTAAATCTTTTAGGATTATGATTAAAAATTTATTAAAAGCTCTTTATAGCTTTAGAGAATAAAAATAGTAATATACTACTGAATATATATATCCATTTCTAACTTTGGAATAAATCACTTTAATAAATATGAAACTTCTCAAAAACATTTTGGTTCTATTATTTGCCTTATTGCTCGTGATCGAGATATAAGGTGCTGGTAGAGGAGGTGGCAGAGGTAGAAGCAGTAGATCTAGTAGATCATCTTCAAGTTCTAGCTCAAGCTCTAGCAGTAGCAGTAGTAGTGGTAGTAGTAGCAGAGCTAGCACAAGTTCTAGTACATCCACCGCTGCAAGAAGCACTAGATCATCTACTGCAACAAGTAATGTAGTGAAATCTACATATTCTACTGGCTATAGATATCCAAGCACTTCAAGAGTTACAACTACCTACACCTACGTTAGAGCACCAACAGGCTCTTATGGCACTTACAACTCTTATTACAATTACTACAATCATGGAAGAGGATATAACTATTACACAAAAAACGGTTATAGTTTACCATTGAGCACAAACACCTCAAATGGAACTAACAGCACTAACTCATCTTCTAGTTCAGCTGTTAAGAAATTGATTGAATATACCGTGGGAGATACCTAGTCTGAAACTGAATTTTACTATTATCAAGGTGGCTATTACTACTATGTTAGAGCCAGTCCACAGGGAGGTTACTGGTGGATCCCCGTCGCTGCATTTCTCTTTATCTTTATGGCTTTCTTTATTGCCTCAGTCCTACTAATCAGGATTCTGAGAATCCATTGTGAGACTGCAATGTGCATATTGTTCTGCTGCAAATGTAAATCTTACAAGAAAATCGAGTCTAAAATAATATCTGACCTTGAAAGAACTCAAGGCTTGCCATAAACAGAAAAAAATGACTCTTCAGATTCAGACAAAAAGAAGAAAAAGCATCACAAGAAAGATCAGGAAAATTTTTCAAAAGTTGTTCCAGATCACTCTTCATACTAATCCGAGCCAGATTAGTCAAAGAGCGGAAAGCCTTTCGATTTTTACAATCCTTCTTTTACTCAAAATCAGAACAGTAGTTATCAAGTGAATCCTGATGGGTCAACATTCGTTTAACCCTAGCTATACCAAAGCAATTCTGGAAATCTCTAAAAAGTCTGAGTTGAACCTTAATTTCACTACTTGAATAATGAATGATCAAACTTAAAAATCAAATAAGAAAAAATCATATTTACTAAAATGCTTTTGATATACCCAATCTGAAGACACATAACTTTAAATGTTACAATTCTTGGCATTTTTAGATCTAACCAGCTTCTATTTTAGTAAATATTCTCTAAGTTCTTTTAATTTGATAATCACTTTATTCATACTCTATTTCTAGACCTGGGGTTTTGGGGTTTTGGGGTTTTGGGG